AAAATTTCTACTTTGGTATTGGGTAACAGTTTTTCTGGGTCCCAGATATTCTTGAATCTTGGGAGTGTTGACATTACTTAGTCGATTCGTGTCTTGAAATTCGCATTAGATCCTCCTTGTTTACCGATCATACTCCCCAGATAAATGAAGACTGCCTCTTTCAGAGCTTCATTTTAAAGTGTGATTTGGTTGGTTCTAACTGCATTATATTAGGATCTCGCTTTTTTCCTTGCGTATGTCGAGGCCTATTTATGCAAGATTTGTTGCTACACTGCCTTCGCTTACCTTTATTTCTGTGTATTTGTTAGCAGGGTTAAGTCATCTTCAAAGTTCAAATAATTCATCTGTGTCCTAGGCGTTCACTGTAGCCCATGTCTTTCCTGGTATGTCGATGTCTCCACAATTCAGTCGAGCACTATCAAAAGACGCAGTTGACGCAATTGGGGTGTTGGAATTATTGTTAGTTGTTTGTTGGCATAAAAACTCTGTTGATTAGAGGTCTATGTAGAGCATAACAATTAGTTTTTAAAGTTATTGATTAGTCATCAACCTTTAGACATCAATTGCTGAAGACAATTCACTTTCTCTGAAACTGATTGTAGTTCTATATTGTGAGCAGTGAAATTACATCCTGATCTACTATTCGCTCGTCTTCTGATCTCAGCAATCAGTCGGAAGGTCGTATATCTAGTATTCTAAATGCTAAGTGTTAGCTGTCACTATCTTGAAGGAGGGCTTTATTGAGCTTTTGCAGGGCTGCTTGTCCCATCATGCAATTTTCCCCTAACTTCAATTTCAGACTAGTCACTATCAAGCAATAATCTAAGCTATACCAGCTCCTCTATCCCTTTTCAATCTTCCAGATTCTCTACTTGTGCTTATGTCATCGAAATGGTTTTCTGTAGTATGGTTTTATAAACCCACGTAACTTTGTGAAGCGCTTATGAAGCGAAAATGCTGCCTGTTATAACCATGCTGTTGAGAGCGAATAGATCCATTACTCTGTCATAATTCCCATTTCCTTCTCACAGTCCATGTCGCCCAGTGATGCATTCATTCTCGGTGTTGTCTATCTCAACTTTAGCATTCAGTGCCCACATCATAATGGTTAGATCTTTTCCTGTACATTTCTGTAGAATAGACTTCAGCCTCTCATAAAACAGATCTTTATCATCACTGCTACCATAGGTGAGTAATCATAGCACTGGGTAATGTTTATTGTAATCCCTTCCTTTACTTTAAAGGATGTTCTGATGGGCTTGGAGCCTAGAGTTTTTCATTTCGCGAGCGTTTTTTGTAACTCTTTGAATGGCATCAGCGAAAACTTGTCTAGCACATTTTCATCATGATCATAAAACGCAACAGCTCTCATATAGTTTATATTTTTATCTAGAGTGTGTAAAATTAGTTTCAGACCAAGTTGTATCTTGTCACTTCTACGGCTATTCGAATAACCTCAGTCTCCAATATTGTCTAAACACTCCACATCCTTGTATCAGTTGTTTCTCTGCTTATCAGAATGGACATCGGCCGACGAATCTTGGCTTTCATCATGAGGTGCCGTAACTCTTAAATGTGAAGATCCTCCAGTTTTCAGGGCAGAGTTTGAATAGTTTAAATTATTTTCTGATTAGTGTTTATTAGAGTGCTTTTTATTAACGGAAGAACAATTGTAAAATCTGTGTTGAAACCTTGGGTTGATACACGTAGTAACCCTAGATATATTGATTATGTTTCTTCATCCTTAATCATTTTATATCTAATTATTATTCTTCAGCTCGGTTGTACATGGGTAGGCGATAAAGTTGCTGTTGTATCTTTAAGTGGTTCAATTCATATATTTAATGTCCCACCTGGGTCAACGTCTCTCGCTCCACCGATACTTTCTATAAACGGGCATAAACTCCACATAACATGTGCAAAGTATAGCACACTTAATGATCGTTTAATTACTGCAAGTTCTGACGGATCAATGGCATCTTGGAATATATCAACTGGTTTGGCCGAAATGTTTTCTGGCACGGAAGCTCATACTTCACAAGTACAGTCAATATCGCTTTTGGGAAAATATGTAATTACTGTTGGCATCGATGATCGATGTGTTGTCAGTTCTATGGGTGAATTAAAACACATGTAAGTTTAGGTTTTTTCCTTGTCTTTTTAGTTTCATACAGTAGTGCCCATTCAAAATGTAGTGCATTTACATAAAAATCTAGGAGTGTCGAACTTGTTTAGTCTAATTAAAACTTATATTATATTGCGTAGAGTGATATTAAAGTAGACTCTTTAAGACCAAAAGATGCTAAACGTAAAGGTCTAAGAAACAGGATGTTAACTAGTAACAGCTATGAAATATGAAATAGATTCAAGAAGTGTTTTTCGTTTTGTTGCAGCATGATCGTGATTAACCTCAGTTGTATCTGATTATGTCTTAGTCCTCCTGGTTGCCTGACGTTCAATTACGCATTACGGAAATCGAAGTGCATCAGTACATGCTAAAATATCACAACTATTCCTTATTTCATGATTTGATGTCATAGTTCAAGCACGCCTGCCTTGCCTCACTCAAGTTTGAGTCTACAACTCAGTATTTTCACGTGATAGCTTTTGAAACTTCACATCTAAAACATTTTTGTCCTAATGAATGAGACGTTTCAAGGTGACTTGGTTTCGGAGAAGCAATATGCATAATACTCAAGGCGTTACAAAAAATTTACACAAAGATTTAATAATTTTAAGCTATGAAAAGCAGCCTCATCTATTTCACTTTCATTGTCATCTACAAAATTATCCGCATAAAATTATTTTCTAAATATATCAGACGGCGAACTCTCATGAAGTGTATCGTAGGTTCAAATTCCTAACAATAACGTACAAGTTTATTTAGATTAGTATTGCATAAAGCATGTAAATTAGCTATAGGTACTTGTTGTTGTTGAATGACAAAGTCAATCATTGTTTCAAGCATAATCGATAGGGGAACTATGGAAATAATTACCTTGTATAATAATATAAAGAGCGCCTTTTTTTTGTTTAATGACGGTTACATTCTCACTTTAATTCTTTTTCACTATTGTTAGAGAATGATTAAGAATGATTTCCCAAATGAGAAATCATTATGGTAATTGTCAATCATATATCATTGATTCCAATTGTCACAATGTATTAACACACAGTTTATTTACCAACAATTAAGCGAAAATCATAGTACACCTAGTATTTGTATCAATTATGGATTTGTTCAAAACAATTTAGCATTAGAACATAGAATTATACATTTTTGAACATTCTATCTTTATGCAGACCATACAATGATTCTTTATTGTCATGATTATCATTAAGGTTTCACCTATGGATCTTATAGATTTTCTCACTATTGTACTTTCATGAAGTTTAACGATAATTTAAAATTACTATTTTACCGAATATTATTCACCTCATCAATATATCATTGATACATTTTTAAATGAAGTAATTCAGACTGTTATGTTCAGTTTAATAAATATTTTAATAAGTATATCTCCACGTGTCGTAGTCGAACGGAATGCCTAAGCTGATGAGTTGTCCTATACTAAAACAAAACAGTCATCCAGTACTTTAAGGTTCCTAATGAATAGCCTAACATTGATCGATCCATGTTTTCAATAATAAAAATATTTATTCATTTTGAACTAATACAACGCATCTTAAATAATTAATTTCTATTAATTTTCTTTCGTAGAACATCTATCAAACTTCCATCTCAACCTCGTTGTGTACAATCAATGGAATCTACATGTTCATTAATCATTGTTTCATGTGTAGAACATATGGTTTTATTAGAGCTTAAAAATAATTCATTGGTATTCTTAGATCAAATAGAAGTTTCGCTAGGTGTATCTACAATGAGTGTTTCAAAAAAGCTGTCATTAATTGTTGTTGGATCACAGGTTGGTATGATATTGAATTATGTATTATGATATAGACCATTTTTATTTTATTTTTAAAAATCAATAAGCCAAATTGATTTCATCATCATTAACGTTTACCCTAGTGCATGTACCTTAGCTCAATCGACTATACCATATTAACACAACTAAATAAAAACACCCAGATAATTAGTAAAATAGATCTAAAGTAATGAAATAGCAATGTTAGTGAAAAAGACTGAACGTTGAGAGTATGGCTTGAAAAAAGAGTAGACAGATTTATGTGAAGGAATGCTAGGACTAAATATCCAGAGGCAGATAAAGAATGGAAGCATCTGAGACATTGTGACCGGATTCTAAGCCATTTAACACCAAGTCTCAAACCACTACTGTCGGTTGGACATCGACTTAATTGTCAGCATTCATCAGCATAGCTGAGATTAGCTTTTGATGAGTTTATAAACTGGTTCAATGTCTTGGTTCTTCCCCCCTGGCATTCTTCAAGTTCACTTCTACATCAGACAATATTAATCGTCAACGTAGGTGGTGATTAGACATACGTAATACATTTCCCAACCACCTCAACCTGAACTAGTGATAGGGAGTGAAGTAGTCGAACGTGTAGACCGCTTCACTTATCTTGGGAGTCTCGTCAGTGCCGATGGCCTGGTGACTGACGAAATCTCAGCACGGATACAGAAGGCTCGATTGGCTTTTACGAAGTCGCGTCACTTATGGCGTAGGCGAGATATCCGTTTGCTGACTGAAGGACGAGTGTACTGCGCAGTAGTTCGCTCCGTCTTACTTTATGGCTCTGAAACATGGCCAGCGAGAGTAGAAGATATTCGTAGGTTACTGGTTTTCGATCATAGGTGTCTTCGAAGCATTGCTCGTATATCGTGGGACACCCGATTGAGCAACGCTGTTATTAGGAATCGGGTGCTAGGTAGTCATGGCGAATCAATAGATGCAGTGGTGGAACTTCATTAGTTGAGGTGGTTGAGACATGTGTTACGTATGCCTAACCACCGACTGCCTCGACGAGCTTTGTTTTGTAGTGTAGGAGTAGGTTGGAAGAAAGCTAGGGGCGGCCAAACGAAAACATGGCAGAAATCCATGAAGTCATTGACAAGTGGACTTAGCCATGTCGGTAGTTGTCGACTACCTGGTTGGGGTCCGTGAGATGATAATAATCGATGGTTATAGACCTTGAATGACATGGCTCAAAATCGTTCGCAGTGGCGCCGGTGCATTTATTCTTTGTGTTCTTTCAAATCCTAATCTTCTGGATTCTTCAATTTTGTAAACTTTTCCCACTGAATCATACTTCTTGAATAATATCTTCTAATCCTAACCTCTCCGATTACTTCTAATACCTTTACTACCTCTTCTACTAATGGATTTGAATTGACAATTACATCTCTGTGCTGGTGTGGTATGGCGACATGAACTGATGTACCTACGTACGAAGTTCTACGTTGCATCTGACTGACTGACTGATGAAGATTTACAGTACACTCAACTGATTTACTTCATCTGTCTAGTACCCTAAACCTACGATTGATCACTCGGCCGTTCTATGAAACCTGAGAATAGCGTCGGCGACACCTATGATCAAAAACCTGAAGCTCACACTTGTTTTCTTTCAAAGCCCATGTTTCTTAGCCATGAATTAACATGACGCGGATTGTTGCGCAGTCTCTACATCCTCAAGTGACACAAGTTGAAAAAGAGAAACCAAGCTTTCCGGATTTAGTCTAAGACTAACTGACTAAAAGTTGTATCCTTGGACCAAATACTTCACAACCTCCATATAATGGCTCCAATCAGTTTTTGAAAATTTATAAAAATTGTCTAATTAAATGGAACTGTAAAGTTTACTATAAAACTGTAACTTCAATAGGTTGTACATCACTAAAATAAAGTGACTTTCTGACTTAACAGTGTGTAATTTGGATATGAACGAGGTCAATTAAAAAAAGAAGTTTGTTTGTTTATGATTGTAAATGAAAGTAGATTATTTTGTAAATTATATAAATTACAGATAAAACCACACACAAAAAAGTGATAAACTATTAAAAATGTTCATTGATAAAAATGTACGCGTACCAGATTTATGTTATGTCCATATATGTACATTGTTTTCTGATTGGTTAACGCTGGTTCTAATATTTTATTTATTTTGCTTATTACTTACTTACCTTTATCGATTGACTAAAATAGTATAATCATCAGCCATTTGAAATAAAGCTTTTTGTGTATACACAAATTTTTGTTGTCTAATCATTATTGAATGTAATTTTTTTGTTAATCTTAATCATTTAATCCATTGCTCTTTGTATTTTATTTATTATTCTGAGGAAGTTGAATTTGTTTTCTTGTTGTATGTCACAGAGTACTACTACTACCACTCAATATATTCTAACTTAGGCACCTAGACCTATACACGATATTCTTTTTAATATACCAAATATATGTGCTGTAAATATGTTAGGCAAACTAAATCATCATGCATTGTGAACTAAATAGGTCATATCTGTCTAAATTTAAAAGCAACTCATATCAACATTCATTTCTTGGTTATAAAAGTTATTTATCAATGCATATATCATCTCTATTTGTCTTTGAAAAAAAATGAATAGGAATTCTATTAGAATTATGAAGCACACATTACGCTACAGAAATATGGATCAGCTGATCATAAAATGATAACCTATTTATGTCAGTCAGTCAGTCATTCATTGTTGCGCAACGTAAAGCTTGGCACGCATGTGCATCAGTTCAAGTTGTTATAACAATTGAGAATTATTTTGTTGACTGGCGCCACGTTTTGGTTTGTTCTTCCTTGGTTTTTTTCTGGTTTACTTGTACACCAGACAACATCGACTGTCTATGTGGGTTATAGTTTTGGTTTGTGCTTCCTTGGTTTTCTTCTGGTTTACTCGTACACCAGACAATATTGGCTATCTATGTGCGTTGTAATTTGATACATGAAACACATCTCAACCATCTCATTTTATGGGGATTTACTGTTCCATTAACCAATCTGCTACATTTACCTAAAACCCTATACATAACCTTAACACTGCTGCTTAATCGATGATACAAGCGATGCTTCAAAGACACCCGTCTACTTTGTAGTCCTTAGTATCAACCGAAATATATCGATCAAATTACAATAGAAAAGTAGGAGCAAATTAATTGATATGGAACTGGCCAGACACCGTCAGCAACAACCTAGTGTAGGAGAGAACGAACCAGATCCCGGTGGAGGAGGAAATCAGGAAAAAGCGGTAACAGTGGATAGGACGACATACACTGAGGAAAGCACCGAACTGCGTCACAAGGCAGGCCCTCATTTAGAACCCTCATGGCCAAGGGAAAATAGGAAGGCCAAGAAACACATTACACCGAAAAATAGAGAAAGACATCAGAAGAATGAAAAAAATTGGACAGAACTGGAAAAGGAAGCCCTGGACAGAGTAGGTTGGAGAACACTGGTCGGTGGCCTATGCTCCATTGAGGGTAACAGGTGTAAGAAGAAGAAAAGAAGTAACTGCATTTTTACGGTATTTGTTTGTAGGCAATCAACAGAGAAAACTCTGGACTTCAGAGCATTTTATCACATCTCACCATTGTATACATGGCATTATGAGGAAGCTAGTTTTACTCGTGCGATTTAAAACTGCATCATCGTACGTCGCAGGTATAATAAACGTAAACACTGAGTTATTTCAAGTGTGACCGACCTCTTATAAAAGTATGATGTTTGAACTAATCAATTACCCCAGTGTTGACCAATAATCAATTGACTAGTTCATAAATGCAAATTATACCTGCTATTACACTAACTTTTATATTATTTTCTTTGTGCTTTTATTTTTTTTTCAAAAATTAACAGAGTCTAGGCAATACATCGTTTCATATATCATCAAATAAAAAGTTGAAACGATTAAGTCTTGTCAATGCTACTGATAGAAGCCCAGAAGTGCTTGAATTCTCACCTAATGGTGAAATACTGGCTCGTGCAAACTCAGATCGTTCAGTGAATTTATTCTCTGTGAGTATATCTATTCACTTTTATTTTTATTTGTCAGAAAATATTTCCTCGTATCCTTTGCGCTTATTTTTAGTCAATTATCTAACTATACGATTTATCTCATATACACTAGAAACCTGGAAGCACTGGACAGTCGTTTCGTCCTGGTATGGGACTCATCAGCAGTGCGCATCCACGACTCCTGCGCATCGCAGGATTCGAACCCGCGACCTTCGGTATTGTTCGCGAACGCCTAACCATCGGACCACCGGCATCCAACGGTGTTAATGTCTAACTCTGATTGATCTACGGATTTTGCGCGACCTCACCCATTTGTCTTTGGTAGTTACTGCCTACACATGACAGGGTAGAACTCCATTGGTCACGTCTTCTCAACTAGAACTCCGAGAATTTCCTCACGAAGCTAGTCACTAGTGAGCACTGTTACGCTATTTTCGGGCAGAGTTTTGGAGGTTTGTGTATGCTCACTAGTTTATAATCCATTGTGAATGAATGATAAGCTATAATGTTTAATTCATCTTATGTCATAATTTACCACCGGATCTAAAGATTATCATTTTTCAAGTATGAAATCTATATAATCGCACTAGTTATTTGTTCACCTTATTTTTCTCTCATTTAATGCCTTATCCATTGAGTTGTGGTATACATTTAAATCAAAATGTTTTTCAATGTTGATTTTTCTTAATCGGTGAACAATTCGTCAGTATATCTTGTACATACTTATGTATCGTCATTCAACAATGCAATCTAAACTAAGAATTAATCTTAAGTTGAAAATAGACTGTTACTCAACCGGTTTGCAATAAACTTTTTTGAATTTTCATTAATACCTTAGTGCAGTAACATAAAAAAAACACTGAGCAGTACTTTTCTGAACTGTTAATCTAATACAGGTTTGTATTACTGAGTTATTATAAGTTTTACTTTTGGTATAAGTATCAATGACATTGTTTATTAGCTGTTTGAATAAGATCTGTGTGACTCAATGGTTATAAGTTGGTTCAATTATCTATTCAATTACCAATGTACTTTAGCAACCAGAAAAAAATGCTGATTTTTAAAGATAATGGAATTTAACTTGTACTTATAAATAAACGTCTGTATTCATTGGTATGGCTTAATTATACATAATACATGTTTTAACAACAAATACACTGAAACTATTTAGAATGATATACGTGAAAAAAAAACATATTTTAGTCCGTACAAGCAAAGTAAAACCCGGCAAATATGTACACTGTGCCTTGTGGCCACGTGACTTTAGCTTAGTGAGATAAAAGTTATCAAGATGAATATCAAAGTAATAATAGTAACAATGAGAGAACCTATCCGTTACAGAAAAACAATTAATTCACCGAATGAAAGGTAAATAATTTTGAAACTGAGGATTTAAGCCCCAGACAAAGAGTGAATGTATCTGTGCTCTTGAAAGTGTTGCTTAGCCATAACACCTTATCTCTCAAACCATTATGTCCTTCAGTATTCCTACGGGGGAATACTACGCTTTGTTTTGGTTTCACGTAGCTTTCTTCTAAACTGTAAATCTTAATGATTTCATCATCTCAAATGTACATAGCCACGTCTATCCGTTGTTTTTTTTAAAGTCTAATCATATTTCTCATTCTTGATTCTTTAAATAATGTCTTCTTCAGTTTATACTGCTTCAAATGTTATCATGATAGTGGAATACATAAGCTGAATTTCTGTCTATTATTATAGCTGAGTCAGTCACCTATTCTCTAACTAAAGCATAATTTATATTTAGCTTAAATATCTTATTGTCAAACAACGTTTAGTCAGTGCTTTTCTTTCAAAACATTTTGACATAGTTATCTATATATGTCATTTATGCTTTCGAATTATCGTTAAATTATATTTATTATAGTCTCTCCGACTATATAAGTAATTTTATATTGTCATTTATTTTTCAACTTATCATATTTTTCTTCTTAAGAACGAAATAATTTTGTATGATTGAGTAATCATTTTACATTTTTTGTATGTATGTGTGTGTGTATGAAACAATATCACTGTAGCTGGTGAAAATTTCATGTTCATTTCTAAGTAAACAAATGTATTGTAGGCACAGATCAATAAATTCTTAAAATTGCACTTGTTTATGGTTTTATTTGTATAAACAAAATAAATCATTAGTGAATATGTTAGCTATATATACACATAATAGATTGTTTTTGTTACCCCAGGACCCAGTATTGACAACTAAAGAAAAGCATGGTAAGAATTTGATGTTAAACGAATGAGAGGCATGCATGAGGGATACCACTACTTTACTGTATATTCTAACATATACATAGGTCGTAGGATAGTCCAATGCTGAACGATTACTGTCTAATCAATAAACCAACTGAGCTACTGTTTTTAGTTGGGGTATATGAAGTAACACAGGAAATTTATAAAGTGCTGATAGAGTTGTTTACGGTGATAATTAAGTCAGAAAAACTGGTGTTTCAAGTTTAGTACGAGATTCGGACTAGGGTCCAGCTCCTGTTATGGCAATAACATCGAATATGTATAGTCTTTTATGCTCTTCAGTTGTTCATTCACTGTCCAGATTGCTGATGATCCCTACTTGAAGAAATATGTATACATGGCTCAATCATACATTTGAGGTTGAGAAACGATAAGGCTGTTGAAGGCCTTGTTTTGTGAAAACCTATGAGGAATATTGTAATCAAAACCAATTATCCGTTACCTCTAATACTTCTACTATCCCTACCACTATGGGATTTGAACTGATGATTGCCTCTCTGTGCTACTGTAGTATGGCAACATGAACTTTTATACATACATACGAAGTTCTACGTTGCAACTGACTAACTGATTCAAAACCAATGAAATCTGGATAAACTTACCGCCATCAGTTAGAATAATTTAAAAGAGATAAAATTGATGTGTGTGATCGAAACATAGAGTAGTCTTGAATTTTCAAAATTTTACAGACCGTAATGGAAACCAACCAAAGGTTATGTATGGGGAAACTAACTAAATCTTGTGAAGTGTGCTATATTCGAAATGAATACTTTAGAGATATTTCAAAATAACATTGAAATAGACTCTGTTAATATAAAGGTATCTAAAAAATTAAGAATACTTGACAGTAATTACTAAATGTATTTATCATTGTGTTATCTCTTCTATCGTATTTACAAGACACTATAAAAAGATCGAAAAAAAACAAACGGTCCATAAAGTAAATGCATGAGAAATAATACGAACAGAACTGACCTTTCCATCTTTATTATTAAAGCGAAAACAAAAACAAATCCTGTCTTCTAAGTTACTGAAATGCTCCTATCAAACTCATTCAGTCAGTCAGCTACAACATAGAACTTCGTACGTACGTACATCAGTCCAAGTTGCCATGTCACATTAGTAAAGAGACGCAATTGTCAGTTCAAATCCCACAGTGGTAGAGATAGTAGAAGTATTAGAGATAATCGGCGAGATTATGGTTTGAAGATATCATTCAAGAAGTATAATCTGATGAAATAAACTTAAAAAGAGAAAGGTAAAGGCGAGGAGAAATTCAGAAGATTAGAACTTGAGAGAAGAAAAGAGTGGACTCATCTGCAAGATTATAAGCGATTTTCAGCCATGTCATTCAGGGTCTCTAACCATCGGTCAGTATCGTCTCGCGGACCCCAACTAGGTAGTCTAGACTTACCAAGATGACTCAGTCCATTTATCAGCGACTTCATAGATTTTTGCCATGTGTGTGTGACCGGTCCCAAGCGGTTGTCCCTTGGGCTCTGAAGTCACGCAGCTAGGTCTCTAACACCTACGCTCATCCAATTTCCATTTCAGGTTCCTCAGGAAACACCAGTTCACAGTGTGTGCAGCTGGGAAGTTACATCCGCCCTCATACTCGTAACAACACACGAGACCAAACCAGTCACAATCAAATGCTTAGCACACTACACTGTTGTTAAATCACTGGGCTTCTAAAGACCGCATAATATGTTAAAAGATTTCTTTTATAAAAGCAATAATATCTTCATTTTTTATTTCTCTGCTTCTCTTACTATTCGATAATCAGTTCATATATACTAAAAGTTTATGTTAAGCCATGATACATCATTTTCAATGCTAATAATTGAACTTATTTCTTTCAATTGCTTTTGTTTGTCCAGGTGACTTATGAAGGAGGTGAACATGATCTCCCAACTCTTAAATCTGCTCTTTCTGAATATTGGCAGAGGCACTCAGCTAGAATAACCTGTATCAGTTGGAGTCCAAATGGTCGTCGTTTGGCCACTGGAGGTATTGATAGTTCTATTGTTATCTGGTCATTAGATGAACCGAACAAACCTGTGGTTTTGGCCGGTAAGTGATCTTATTTTGAATATTTATTGAATCAAAAGAAACTTGTCTTAATTGGATTCAGCTATTTGGATTTTTAAGCATAGTTTTGATCACCATTTTTCCTAAATCACATACTTTATATTTTAGGACAATCAACCTCATGTTATCGTAAGAGTTAATAACTTCCAGAATATTTAGTATAAGGAAACTTGATTATCTAATATAGTTGATACAGTAATCCTGTACAAAACTACACAGTGAAGTAATTGATAAGCTGTATTCATTGTATAATAAATGGTTGCTTGCATTAATCAACTTTATTCATAAGTCAGTATATCACAGTAGTATGCTAGTTTTACAATTACAAAGTATGTTTTTTTTAATATGTTAATTTATCATGATCATAATTCTTTAATTAAAATCAGTTTTTCTGTTTGATATCGAACAAATATATAATTAGGTGGAGGGGCTGCATTTTTAAATGATTTTACTATTTGGGAATACTTTGAAAGTCAATTACTTGTACTAACCATAAATAATACTTGAATATTCAGTTTTTTATTCTACGATAATTTACTTCAATGTTAAGACTAATAAGAATCAATAAATTTAACTTCAAGACATAAGAGCTAAATTGTCTCGGATAATTTGTCAGTACAAAAAACCTTCACAGTTAGATATCAACTTACGATCCAGACATTCCTTTGCTATATTTGTTTCCGTTCTATTTTAAACAATATCGATAATTAGTTACTACTGATCTAGGTTTTTTTTAGGTAAAAACGCATTTACATTTGAAATAAGCTGGCAAGGTCAAAAGTAAAGAAATTGACAGATACTAGTAACAATCAATATTTTATAATGTAACAAATGTTTTGTCGACTGTATTAGAGAGTGACCCAGTCTGTCTGGTTCACAGCCAAAGTGCAATAACTTAAAATGAATACAGTCATGTTTAGGGAAATAAATGTACACATTAATGTGTTTAGTATGTTCTTGGTAATATTCATATTTTCAGAAGAAGCTTATAACTAAGATTTCACCAGACAGACAACGCAGAACTTCGTACGTAAGTACATTAGTTCAGGTTGCCATACCACATCAGCACAGAAACGCAAGATTTCACCAAATGAATTGTTCACTTATGAAGCATAGCTAATATTTCCTATCTAATATTATTTGTCTCTATGCGCTAATGAATGAATTCATATGAATGTTTCTTTCTATTTCAAGCGGCTCATCCTATGAGTAATAGTACTGGATTATGTTGGATCAATGACAAACGTTTGTTAAGTTCAGCAAATGATGGGAGCATTCGTATATGGAGTGTGTAGATAGAAGTGCAGTCTGTCTTCTAGCCTAAAGTCTCTTGCAATCATGCTTCCCAGAATACTCGTTTGCAGTTTGATTTAAATAATAATTGTTTCCTGGAATATAAAGTGTTTTCGATTTCCAATTTTTTATCTCAAATACATGTCAACTAGTCTTATTTCTGTCATATCAGGTTTTTGGGAAGGCGAATTTAATTTTTTATTTTAATATAAAAATTACATCTTGTTTGCTTTTTTTCAATTCACTAAGCATCTACAAATTATAAAAATGTTATTACGTAGAAGTTAGTTTTGTATTCGGTAAAATTTGAAGTTATAGACTGCATAGCTCAATCTAATTTATTTCAACTCAACCGCAGTATAAATGGAGATCAAGCATTGTGATACGTACATTTTCACCGACGACTAAATTATTGGCTGCTATAAAATTCACTAAAGTATCATAAGGATTTAAACTTTTTTAAATAAAGTAAAGGATTTGAGACCAGCTTCATGTCGGTTTGTGTATCCTTATATAACTCACTGATAAATTTATTTGAGTTGATGTGTTAATCTGGAAAACTAAGCGAATAATAAGACATGTATTTTAAGTAACATAGAAATACCGATATTTCACGCGTTAGTTATAGATTTTTCGGGGAATACATGTTTTCAGCACACTGCAATTATCACACAGCGTTCTCACCGGCTGAAACGATAACCAACAAGACTTATAAAGTATAGAACTGTTCTTAGATAGTTAGACAGAACCGTTTTTCCTACAATTTTCTGAACTGGTTAGTTCACTGAATTTTATGGATTTACTTACTGAAATTTCTTGTAGGGCAATCCGAACTCGGTAATCTTAGCGCTCTTAATTGTTACAACTAGACTTCTACAATTGTCTATCAATCGTAGTCAAAAATAAGTTTGTTGTGCTCATAAAATGTACATATCGACAAAATAAATGTATGTAAACGACTAGAGATTTATTACGTATTGAATCCTATGTATACTGCAGATTTGTGAACTTTGAAAAATACTAAGTAGTATACTTTTCATCGTTTAGTCCTTAATAACTGATAGATGCCGTTGAAGTCTTCTTAACGTATTCAGAAACGGATTTGTCAAAGCTAGTTCAGCTACCTATCGATGACGTTTGGAGATGATCTCTGCACCGCGAGTGCGCGTTTCAAAATGTGGAACTAGGCTTCAGGATTGGTTAGATGACTATGTTCATACTATGAAACCTGAAAGTGATGATTTGAAATGGGAAAGATTTTTACAGTTAGAAATTAACTACTTGGTTCCCTCAAGTTATTACGTATTTTTAGCTTGTTTCTAATCGTAATGGAGTGTCTAAATGTATTTGCAGATCTTAAAAATCCATAAATGCAACATAATGATTTTACTGTTTAACATACTTGAAGCAATTCAAGGTCAAGAGAGAATGAAACTATGTTCAGATTTGTGTATTTGAGAACACTTCAAACATGATAAGAAAATATATTAAAATAACATATTTGACTCATAAATTTGGGTCTACAATTCTAAGACATTCATCTGAAAATTCGACGAAAATAGGTTCACGCATAACATTTTCTAATGCAGAATACGGTTTATTTGTATCATTCAGGAATCGAAGGAGACTTCGTAAATGAGGGTTTTTCAGTAGATCTCGGATTCGTTCAGAATGCTCTGCATAAAAATTATAATGGTATCACGAGAAACACTTACTTAGGCCTTCTAAAACTCTCCTCGGAACATAGTCGACCATATCATCCTCTTGTTCAACGGTAGTATCCACAATTCTTGGAATAGAGGTCTTTGATTCGCATCCACTTTGTTTATGTTTTTGGTAACAAGGAAGTGAGCAACTAAAGTATTAGTGAACTGACAACGCAGCATACTATGGTGCAATACACTTCGAACATTTATACTTCGAAGTTTCACTTGAGCAAATTGCACACAAAACCATTTTGCCAATAATTAATGTCTTCTCTTTATAGATAACAATTGACAGTATTCTTTTTCTGAAACACAAATACGTTTACCGTTAAATGAATTGTTGTAACCTATATTTGAAACCTCTGTGGTAAAGAGGCATAAGTGTTTTAAATTTCTTTCCGGACGTGTTTATTAATAAAAAGGACTTAGATATGTAGTGTGAGCGTGAACTACACGTGTCCATGTTGATGAAAACTCACTATGTCGCCCGTGATAAACACACTTACACTGTTTCAAGCGTTTTTCCGTATTAGCCATTATCCTGATATTTTAAGCTAACATATTATTCTCTGGACCAATACAGAATGAGCTGCAATGATGAAGCTTCATATCCTTGTGAATTCATCTTGTTTCTTTTCTCTCCAGTTAAAAGAATTTCCGAATATTCAGGTTTGTAGCTGCATAAAACACCGTATCTCTCACTTTTATCTAAACCCATAAGTGTTGACTTATTATTATTTACATTGTCATTTAATACTCCTTACTCAGAATGAGCACTGTTCAATGACCGAACCTCACAAGCACGATTATTTGGTTTAAATGTCTACTTTCGACAATTTATACCTCAGACTAAAAAACACTGCATGAAAAACTTGTTATGATTAAACCTATGAGTAGTTTTCTGCAAAGTACGACCAAAATTTACTAAGGTGATTAATGTTAAAGACGCGGCATATTCTGAACATTTAGACTGATACGTGACTTTGAATGACTAAAATAATATCTCATTTGGATTCCTCTACATCGTTTCGTCACATTCGTAGCAAGAGATAATCAAAATGAGTATGTCCAGTTTTCCAAATGTGTAAATAGATCTAAGTTATGATTAGGTGAACAGGCTTTGAGGGCAACAGAAATGCACTAAAAAACTAGCCTTAAATGCAATACAGAAAAACACGATCCAGTGATCTATTGTCAGGTTGAGGCAGCAGTTTGTTTCTGATTATTATACCAAGGACTTTGAAGATAAAAGTGAGTCATTACCAGCAAAAAGGTTAGATATGCGCGTCAGCTGAACATTCGTTAATTTACACTCTTGATCTAGGGAACGTTACGAGGTAGGCTAATGAGTTTGAGCTAGTGATCACACTGTTGTCGAAAAAACATTGAACGCATTCGTACTCGAGTCTGGAAGTGCCCATTAACAATCGGTTTCGACTAACTATTTATTGCCCCACCGAAGCTGCTACCTTGACGTGGTGGTCGGGCTTGCCTATCGTGATGATCCAACCGAGCTATATTGGCTGGAACTTATGTTCCTGAAGGCTCTACCATGCCAGGCAGGTCGACTGGAGAACGATGAGACTAAAAGCAGCTACTCAAGGTCTGAGGGCGAAGTCGTACTGCTGACTGCAGAGGTGTGACAGCAGTAAGGTGTTTCCCTCGGACAACCAGCGACTGCAGCGATGCTGCCTTCTCACAAGGTTAGAAAAGGTTGACCCTAGAAATGTCACACCTCACGGATTTCCGTCTTCGTCGGTAAGGGTGCCCACTAAGAGCTTTCAAGAGCAGAGCTAACACTCAAAAACCTATCATCAAAAGGCCGTGCATGACCAGCCTCAAGCAGTTGTACCTTGGGCTCTGCGGTCACGCACCCAGGTCTCTAAGACCAACACTAATCTATCTTCCTTTTCAGGTCCCTCAAGAAACAACCTTCCACGGTGTGGGTAGCCGGGAAGTGACAACCGCCCTCATACACGTAACAGCACGCGAGACCAAACTGGTAAAAATCAAATCCTTCTTACACCTCCTAGTACCTCTCTTATCTCTACGACTAATTCTTCTCTTATCACACTGCACAGCTAATGCAAACGATGCGAGTTAGTGTTTTAGAGTTCACGAAATGTCACTCATGGTCTCCTGAAACCTCGCACTAAATTACATGTTGGAGCTTTTAATGTACGGACATTATGTCAAATAGGGCAACAGACTTCGTCAGCTAAAACATTAGAATCTCCTTCTAAATTTATCTCACTGAATTATACTTCTCGAATTACTGATGTACTAACGTACGAAGTTCTGCGTTGTATCTATTTATCTATCTATCTATGTGATTGCTAAAGCTTCTAGTAATTGAGGGTGCTGCACTCTGTTTTTAACTTGATAATCGAATCAAACTTTAATGTCCTTTTCAAAAAGAAGAAGCACCAACTTACTGCTGCTATCGATTGTTGTTACTGTTCTCGATCATTGCGAAGTCTTTATTATCAGGCGGCGCTCTTCATCATGTTCAGAGCCAGATGGGATGAGTTTTCGAGCATCCATCAGTTCGGTATATGCTACTGAAATCCACAGCTTCGCCCTAACCTCATTGTTTACTATACTAGAAGATATCACTGCTGTTTCCACAGGCTTTCCAAGCTGCCTCCGGATCAGGATCTCTTACATGGCCACCTAACTGTTTTTCTAGTTGTTCCTGAAATATACTCTTAGCTTTATTATCACTAAGTAGAGCCCTAAAAGGTTTCCTTGCGATATTTTCCCTACGTCCAGTGAGACGCAAACAAAAACGCGCTCGCACTAGAGCATGTTCTGAGTCTAAATAAGTGCTCCAGAATGAGCGGCAGTCTTTAGCAGAACCTCCCCACCGATGGCTGATAGCCATGTGATCTAGTCGGGTCCATCGTTGAGTCGGCTTTGGGGGTCGCCAGGTCAAAAGGTGTTTTATCGTATCCTTAAAGTTAGTGTTTGCTAGCAATAGGCGGTTAACTGAGCATAGCTGCAACAGACGGTCGCCATTATCTGTTCTATTAGCCGCGACACCACAGCATTTACCCAGGTGTCTTTCATTTTCGCTGAGTCTACTTACTTAAGCGTTAAGGTCATCAGTCATTATTGCTATAGCAGTGCGCTTAACATTTTGGAGAAGTTTCTATAAAACTTATCTTTCATGTCATCTGAACTATAGTCAGTGAGAGCGTAGTCAGATATGATGAGGAGGCCAAGGCGAATGTTCCTATGCTTCCGAGTCCGTACCGACCCGTTTGGTCAGACAGCGCATAAGCGACTGTCTATCGGGATCCAGTCCAAGAGAGCTAGTTCTGCCCTAGGACTTGGTACTATAAGTGCACCGGCGAGGCCACGAGGAGCGGTACCACGGCTTCCAGAAACAGGAAGAGTAAATCGAGTTGGTTCTTTATCTTGACCTGGAGAGGTCAAGTGAATGACGCTACTCGGATTCTGTATGCGCGTTTCGGAGACGCAACATACATCGATCGCCCGGGATTCCAGAGTTCTGGCTAATAAACCTGTTGCCCTATTTGGCATAAGGGTTCGGACATTAAAAGCTGCTATATGTAATTTAGTACGGATTTTCAATAGACCAAGAATAATTTTTCGTGAGTTCATACCTTTTGTTTCAGTGGCGTGAGGTGATAAACGATCGAAAGAAGGGTTTGTCGAGGAGATAAGAGAGTTAATAAGAGGTGTAGAAAGGATTTGATTGTGAAAAATTTGGTCTCGTATGTCTAACAACCGACTGCCTCGTCGAGCTATATTTTGCGGTGTAGGAAGAGGTTATCAGAAAGCTAGGGGCGACCAGACCAAAACATGGCAGAAATCCATGAAGTAAATGACGAGCGGATAACCTATTCCTACACCGCAAAATATAGCTCGACGAGGCAGTCGGTTGTTAGGCGTACGCAAAACACGTCCCAAACACTTCAACTGATGAAGTCTCAGTACTTCATCTAATGATCTGCTATCCCAAACTAGCACCCATTTCCTAACAACAGCGTTGATTACTCGGTTGTCCCACGATACTCGAGCAATGCTTCGGAGGCACCTATGATTGAAGACAAGCAATCTACGAATGTCCTCTACTCTGACCGGCAATGTTTCACAGTCATACAGTAGGACGGACCGAACTGCTGCGCAGTACACTCATCCTTTAGTCAGCAAACGGATATCTCGCCTGCGCCATAAGTGACGCACGTTGGAAAAAACCAATCAAGCCTTCTGTATCCATGCTGATTTCGTTACACACCAGGCCATAAAGACTGATGAGACTCACCAGATAAGTGAGGCGGTCGACACTAAACTCCTTCACTCCCAGACAAATCAACACCTGAAAGTCACAAAATATCAGTAACTTTAGCCATCATCTACGAAGTCAAAACTCACATATTTGATTGTTCCATATAGTGGAAGAAAAATGCTAAAGTTATTTATAAGAATATGGGCTAGTGTTGTTAGCCACCGTATTTATCCTGTAGAGTCAGTGTCAACAACTGAGACCAGTTATGATGCTGACAACACATTGAGTCGAAACACTTCATACGATTTGATTTGAGAGGTTATGCTTATTAAATTAATGAGGTCACTACTTTAAATCGACTTTCAGTTTAATAATGGAAATCTCTAGTGATTTTAAACACAAAGTACAGTATATTGCACATCTCTACTGCGCTAATATTAACACAGGTATCCGTCATTGAAGGGGTTCGTGGCTACTATAAAGGTATCTATCACCTTTTTCACGAGCTAGTATAAACCAACTGCTTTCATATGTACCAGAGAAGTATTCACCATAGCATAAAAATGGAGAACTGTATAAGGGTTGAAAAGTGAAAAAGGGTAGTCGTAAACAAAGTAAACGCATAAAATGCACTTACACTGAATAAAAATAGCAATAAAAGGAAACCGAGGGCACGCTTACTTTAAGTATAGATAATCTGTAAAGCGAAGTTGGGAGAATTAGCGTTCAGATTTCCAACAACAACGATCTCTGCACTTTCAATTTCGCGCAGAGCACGTGAGGGTGGCATTTTGGTTTTTGAATGTTTTCTTCAAGGCCATCGGCATGTTATTACAAGTGAACGAAAACAGGCGAACGAGAAAAGCATATATTAGGGGAACAGTTCGCAAGAAATACATGGACCAGTCCTTGAAACGCCAGTTACCTCACAACACGTTCAATTGTACCAAAGTAGCTGACGCCTCTGTAGTTCTCACACAGGCTGAGATGACCTTTCTTTTGTAGTATATGAAATATCCTTAGTTCAAGTCTTTTGGTACTTTTTCTTCATCCCAAATCTTGTTTGAAGAATGTGAAATGTTTAAGCAGTTGCTGTGAGGTCTAATTTCATTGTCTTTACTGTAATGTTGTCTGGTCCCGCTTCTTTACCACTCTTGATTTGTCTGATGGTCAGGCTGATCTATGCAATCGTTTATGAGCCAATATCGATTGGGAGGACCGCGGATGCTGCTTTGATGTTAGGTGGGTTTAGTGGAGCTGGTCAATTCAAAATTTCTTTAAAGTGCTCTACTCACCTGTTTTGCTGTTCTTCAATGTTGCTGATTACTTCGCGTTCCTTGCTCTCTAACTGGTCGTTTTGGTTTAAGATGGTTTACTTTTGTACATTTGTCTCATGTTTCTGTCTCCTAAAGCCATTTCCACCGTTTTTGCTAGATCTTCCACATATTTTCGTTTGTCGTCTCTGATGCTTCTCTTCGCTCGCTAGTTCGTTTCAGTGTAATCAGTTTGTGCGTAAACATTCTCTGCTCTTGTTCGACTGATGTTGACTGCTGCCTTCTCGTCTCTCCTTTCTTTTTCAAGAGTACCAACAGAGATCCATTCCTTGTGGTGGTACTTCCTGTGGCCTAGAGCCTCGTGTCATGTAGTAGTGATTGCCTTCTTGATCCCTTCTCAAATGTCCCCCAAAGTTGTTTCCTCTCCACTGAGTATATCGTACAAAGCCTGGAACCTATTGGAGAGGGCTGTCTTGAATTCGTTGAGTTTTACGGTATCCCGAAGAAAGGCTGTATGAAACTTGTGTGATGTTGTCCGAGCTGTTATCTAGAGCTTCTGGAGATTCAGTTCTATTTTGGCGACCAGAAAGTGATGATCTGGGGCTTTTTCAGCTCCTCTCTTGGTTATCACATCCTCCATAGTCCTTCTGAACCTTTTGTTGATGAAGATATGGTCGATTTGGTTCTGAGTGGTGTGGTCCGGTGAAATCCATGTGGCTCTGTGTATGCGTTTTTTGCGGGAATATTGTGCCACCGATGACCAGTTTGTTGAAGGCACATAGGATTGCGAATCTCTCACCGTTTTCGTTCCTTTCTGCTGGTACATGTCATCCAGTGTTGTCCATGCCAACTTTGGCATTCAGGTCTCCCGTGAGAATCGTCAAATCCTTTGGTGAACATTTATCGACGATTGACTGCAGCCTTTCGTAGAATTGATCTTTAACGTCGTCATTGTAGTCATTGGTAGGTGCATAACATTGGATAACGTTCATTGTAATGTCCTGTTTCTTTGTTTTGAAGGATGCCTTAATGATCCTGGGTCCATGAGATTCCTATCCTATCAGTACCTTTTGTGTATGTTTGGACAGCATCAGTGCAACTCCTTGTGTATGTGAAGCACTTTCCTCTTCATGACCAGAGTATAACAGCAGTTCCCCTGAAGCTAGTCTCAGTTGTCCTACCTGTGTCCACTGCGTTTCACTGATGCCGAGCACCTCCAGTTTGTATCTTTTCATTTCTGCAGCAACTTAAAATAGTCTTCCAGTCTCCCACAATGTACGAACGTTCCATGTACCTGAGTGAATGGTTGCTCTGGTTGTCAGAAGAGGCATCGGCCCCGTGACTTCCGAGGGAACTCGGCTTTCATCACGCGACGTCATAATTCTTCTTCCAACTCCCAGGGGGGGGCAGAGTTAAAATGGTTTGAATTATTTTTTCTGGTTAGCGTATTTTTGGCAAGTTAATTTTTGACGGAATGGTGTCGCTAACCCTCCTTTATCTGGGCTTGGGATTAGCGATAGCCCCAGAGAGAAACCGGGCCGAGTTTTATGGAAAGAACAATCTAAAATCAATCACTGTATAATGAAAGGCTGAAATATCCACTGGAAATTGACCAGTGTGTCAAAAAGTGTGTAAGTCGGGATGTTTCTTTCAGAGATCCAATATCCAATATCTTTTTCACGAGCTAGTGTAAACCAATTTGATTTCTTCGCGCTCGATTCTTGTTCTTTCGGTACGGTTCTGGGTGTTCGGTAATGTCCAATGGATGCAGGTCTAGTCACTCGACTAACTGATTCTAGTCAGTTGGCAGTTGGTTGTGAGTTTGTATGTCTCGGGATTTGAATGAAACGTTTGTTTCAGGGCAGTAGGGTTTCTGGATACTAGCAGCCGTCACATCACCAAACCGGAGATCAGTTAGTTGCAATGTGGAGAATAATAAGGGTAATAAGGATAAAATTCTAATGCTAATATGAATAAAATTTCAGAACTGAGTAATATATAGATGAATTTAGTTTATTAATTGGTAGTGAAGATTGTGAAAGAGGACCGAAGTGTAAGCAGGGGAGAGGAAACAGAGATAATAGGCGAGATAGATTCAGCAAGTGATCTGAGGAGATGGCAATGGTAACAACTAGCAGGTCTCAGGATATGCATCAGGCACAGCTTGTACAAGAAGGAGATGATAGTCCGTATGTGAGTATGTGATTATCAAGTCTCTTCTTAAAGCAGTCCACTGAGGGGGCTGTAACTACCTCGGCTGGGAGAGTTGCGATGACTCGTAATGAGAAAAAGTTGCACGAATCTGAGTATTTGCTCTTTGATGTGCAATGTTTCGAGGATTGCCTCGAGGGGAGTGGTGGTGATGCATCGGTAAGATGCTCACATTGGGATGGTTTGGCGTGTTTAATATGGTGTACGCCATAATCAGGTCACCTCTGATTCTCCTGTAGCTCAGTGGGAATAATCCCAAGAGCTGGAGTCTATCGTCGTGCCGTTTATTTTTCAACCCTATCACCCATTTGATTGCTCGTCTCTGCACTCGATCCAAGAGATTAATGTCTCTTTTAAGCAGAGGGGGTGCGATGACGTTGTGAACCTCCAAGTGTGGGTGCGCGTGCGTCTTAAACAGGGTTAAAAATAATTTCGGGGTGAAAGCACTAAGCTGCCTTCGCATAAATTGAAGAGTCGCATTTGCCTTGGCTGCATCCCCTACATAGTTCGGACTCGTGTGGAGGCTTTCTGTGGTTATTTAACCAAGATCGCGCTCTGAGGAGACATTAGGGAGCGGACTTCCATTGAGAGTGTAGGTGGTTTGCGTCATATGAGGCAGGAAATGCATGACGTGGAACTTCGGTTGGTTGAGTTTTAAACCGTTTTTCACTGCCCATTTCTCAATAGATATAAGGTCCTTTTGAAGTTCAGTCGAATCCTCTTCGATTCTAATGGACCTCCAGATCTTCGCATCGTCTGCGTAGATCAATGCCAGTGAGCTAACTGAGCCTAGAAGGTCGTTAATAAATATCAGGAAGAGGAGTGGGCCTAGGATGGTCCCCTGTGAAACTCCTGAAGTGGATACTCTCCCACTCGCGTGCACCCTGTTTACCTTGCTGCGAAACTTTCTATTCTCAAGGTAGTTTCTGAGCCAATATAGGAGTGCGTCAGAGAAGCCCATTTCCACAACCTTTTCGATTAGGCGTGCGCGGGGTTCTTCGTCGAAGGCATTTGCAAAGTCGAGAAATATTAAGTGCACCGGTATTTTAATTTCCATACAGGATGTCCTGTAGAATCCTTTTTGAATGTTTTGCTTTTTGGAAAATCCCTCCATGTTTACATATTTTTGCTATGACATGACGGACTTTTTCTGTTGACATTTTTGGTATTTTATTTGATTCCAATTTGAGATTTTATCATTGTATATTGTTATTCTTTCTATATTTTGTACTTATATTGAAGTTTTTGTGTTTGCTTCTGAACTGTACATATGTTGTTTAAATTTGATATAATATGGCTACCGCCACATTTTTGGACTGATGCAGTGGCCGCTGGACTTAGCGTCACTTATTGTTATTGTGTCTGATACTCTGCGGAGTAACCTTACCCTGGAAGAAGCACTATATCCGTAATGCTTTGTATTTCCATTTTTTAACTAATACAGAGACGTTTTCTCCTAGAATTTTGTCCTTTTTGAATTGGTTGGGACCCGGAACTGGGTAAAGCGTACAGGAGTGCCTCTATTGGAACCCATTGGATCGGCCACTGTAGAAATACATTTACATGTCCAACTGTCCCATGCGATGAGAAGATTAGATGCACACGACCTGCCTTTCCGAAACCTGTGTTGAGCTTCATAGAGTATTTTATTCTTATCCATGTACTCCCTCATTTGTTCGTCCACTAGTCTTTCTATAACCTTTGATAATATAGGTAGTAGTGCGACTGGTCTGTAACGGGCTGGGTCCTCTCTATCTCCTCCTTTGAAGATTGGAGAGAGAGTAGCTTGTTTCCATTCCGCTGGGAATTGGTATGACTCCAGTGAATGCCTGAACAGGTTGCATAACGGTGATCAGAGGGCTTCAGCGCACTGTTGCGAATTTCGTCACAACCTGGTGACTTACCTGGGTGTAAGGATTTTAGTTTCCTTAATACTAGGTCAGGAGTGATACGGATGTTCCCTAAGCCGTCAGCTGGCATTGGGTTGGCGTAATACTCTGAACATGTAGGTGCCTGGTTTAACTGATCAAAAAAATGGGTGTTGAAGATCGGCCATCTCTAGGTTGGTGAGGTCTTCTCCGTTAGGCCCTTTTAGGGAACACAACCCTTGATTAGTAGGTTTTCTTTTGGACATGAACCCAAACAGATGCTTCGGGTTTGCCTCTATTCTGGCGGCTAGCTCCGTCTGGAATTGTCTCCTGTCGCTTCGAACTTTGGCATCGCATCTGTTTCTCAATGCCAAGTAAGAACTGCGATCGGAATCCTTCAAGGAGACTTTCCACCTGTTCCAGGCTTTCCTCCTTTTCCTGTAGCAAGCGTTCCGTGCCGCGCCTAACCCAGTTTCTTCTGTTCTGGCGTTTTTGGTGTGACTGAGGTACGTTGTCTACGACAGCGTTATGGATTATATCTCTCACTGCTTGTCATTGATCATCTACTGTCAGCCTCCACCACTCCCGTGGCCATGGGGCATGTATGTGTAGTTTGCCCTACTGTAGCAAAGGTAAGGCTCGTTATCGTTTGTGACCATGTTAAACAGGACTGTGCCATGGTCACTACTACCTATTGGTGTAGGCACGTGAACATCCTCAACCAGGAGCTGGTCGTTCGTTAACAAATAATCTAGGTTTGAGGACTTCCCTTCCTTAGTCCACCTAGTGGCACTGCGTACGTGCTCAGTCAGCCCAGAGCTTCTGATGGCTGTACCAAGTTGTCTTTGGAACCAACCAGTGGGAGTGATACTCTGATTGCTGAGATTTAAAGATGGGGTATTGAAGTCTCCGGCTAAGAGTATTTGATCAAACCCTAGGAGTGGCAGTTGCAGTATTACCTCAATCACTTTGATTTTCTGGGCCTTAGTACCCGAAGGAGGTCGGTAGATCCCTCCAATCAAGTATTTCGTGCCATTTGAGTGGAACCAACACCAAAATGATTCTGTCACCTCGGTTAGTTGGGTGTTGTATAGTCGCTGTGCTTTTAAGTTGCTATATATATATATTGCCACTCCACCTGTAGTTTGGTTATCCCTATCGCTTCGGAAGAGTGTCATGCCTGGTAAGCTCACTTCTGCGGCTGCAATGTCAGGGGGTAGCCATGTTTCAGTTAGGATTATGATCTTCAGATCCATCTGAGAGCACATATTCCTGATTTCTAACAGCTTACCCCTTAGTCCTCTTACGTTGCTATAGAGGCACTTGGTGGTTTGTCTCAGCACCTGGTGCACATTTGCGGCGGCAGCCGTTATCGGATTTTCAGACAAGTTATTTAAACCGAATCGGCCAGTTCTGTGGGCACATGATGATAGATTTTTCGCTAAATGTAAGGTTATGTAGTTATTATTTATCAAAGTATAGTTAATTGTAAATGTATTTCTACAGTGGCCGATCCAATGGGTTCCAATAGAGGCACTCCTGTACGCTTTACCCAGTTCCGGGTCCCAACCAATTCAAAAAGGACAAAATTCTAGGAGAAAACGTCTCTGTATTAGTTAAAAAATGGAAATACAAAGCATTACGGATATAGTGCTTCTTCCAGGGTAAGGTTACTCCGCAGAGTATCAGACACAATAACAATAAGTGACGCTAAGTCCAGCGGCCACTGCATCAGTCCAAAAATGTGGCGGTAGCCATATTATATCAAATTTAAACAACATATGTACAGTTCAGAAGCAAACACAAAAACTTCAATATAAGTACAAAATATAGAAAGAATAACAATATACAATGATAAAATCTCAAATTGGAATCAAATAAAATACCAAAAATGTCAACAGAAAAAGTCCGTCATGTCATAGCAAAAATATGTAAACATGGAGGGATTTTCCAAAAAACAAAACATTCAAAAAGGATTCTACATTAATATCCATAGAACAGCTCAAATCTTCATCATAGAGGGATCAGGAATGGTAATTAAAAGGTAACATCCCACGTCCATTTCCGTTAACACGATGATACCCGTTGGAGAAATCGGGGCAGCCAAGAATGAGAAATTTTCAAACTACATCTCGCCAAGTGATCCAAATAATTTTCCTTCGCACTTTGTTTCCGACTTCAGCATTTAAAATCGCCAATATTTCAGGTAAATATACTGTGCCTTGTCATAGATACTTATCAGCTCACTCCATTTTTCTTTGTTACTCTTTGGAATACGCTCGCTTTTATGCCTCGAAACCGACTCAGGGTTCGGCTTCGTTATAAAATCTCGCAGCTTAGTATCGCTGCAAATCGAATAATCAGAAACGTACTTAACGACCCCCAAAAGTCTTACAGAATGCAATATATCCCACATGCCACTTAATTGCGACCTCTTGACCTTTAATAATAATTATTAAAACTGACTGAAAATGAGTGCAGAACCACAGAAATTCGATGTGATGAGAATAACCAACACACTCAGGTCACATACATTACTAGTGATATACAGATAAAATCAGCATGGGAGAGTAGTAAAAGCATATAAACCGTCTATTTAAGCACATTGACCCTGTATCAGAGATCACATCTAGGTTCGGAGCTGTTCTATTCACCTTTACAAGTAAAGCTTTATTTAAAAACTAGTCTAGCTACTTTGAACTGAACTGTGATAATCTAGTTGCTCAAATAATGATCCAAAAGATATTGATAAAATGTCCACAGGTTTAGGTTATCAACCGAGATCTACCCGATTATCTGACGGACACATAAATCAACAAGTGTTCAACATTTATAACCACGAGTTCGTGGTCAGATTAGGATATTCTTGAGACGAGACTTCCCACTCACTGTCGAACTTCTCACGCTAGATTGTGTTACCACAAAAGGACGCAGCTGCATCTTTTCCAGACAACCATCCAATATAAGTGGTTTGAACTGTACCGAAGAGAAAATAATGACATTGTCATAACGTCAGGTGCGGGAACTAGTATTCGATAGGAGACAAGAGAGATATATAGCCCACACATTGGAGTATTTACGTCTTAAGGACCGTTAAAGTGGGAGTCCTTCATTCTTATACTGTATTTTGTTACATTCAGAATGGTTGAGACGGTAACTGTAGAAATGGTTGAAAATTAGAACCGGCTGCAACCTGTTGGTTTGTGTCATCAAGACTTACTTACTAGCCGTGATTTTTATCCAGAACTATGAAAATGTCTCCGTAATTTCAAGGAAATCTACGATGATCTACCAAAAATTATGTTACCGATTTTTATCACTAGAGTAGGTGACTAGAAAGTAGTAACTGGAAGCTAAACGTACGAATTTGCACTATTTCATTATGCGAACTAAACTAGAAAACTGCTTTGCTGCTTTCTATTGACTTGGAGAAAAGCTATAGCCACTCATTATGATAGGATAACGCAGGGTTGACTTACTATTGTTCTATGGAAACTATCTATGATTGGACGGCTATATCTGGTGACAATAAGCGCTGCTCGCCCATGCTTCAGGCCAAAAGCCGTGACATAATGGAACTACTCTAACCACAATGCAGGTCTAGGCATGTGCTCGTGTTTCTGTTTATTCGAATGAAGAATTCAAACTTGAAATTCGAGATATATCACACTGTCTTTACACTGAACAATATACTTATAAACGCATTTTAGTTTCATTTGTTATAAAATCGTATAATTTATGGATAAAACAAACAGTAAACAATCAAACTACGATAACAACAGTTAGATTGCAATCGGTTTGGGTTTACGTAACCCAGTTGTAGGGGCTGCACGGTCAGTAAAACCTTCAGATGATATTCTTGATTTATCGATTAGAGAAACATTGCTTATATCTATACGTTTAGCGTGAGCGACCGGTAGCACATGATCCATAGTGCTGAGGTGAAGTTGTTTATGCGGAGAGGAAAAGGACCCGCCATTTAACTATAACGAGAAAAGTATCAGGGAAATTATAAACTGGAAGTTAAGATTTGGTAAACAATATAAATAAAGGCATGAAGATAACATAAAATGGAAAATAGTGATCCTATGAAACCTACTGGGAATAAATCGGAATTTCTGCTATTTCGTGACCTCGTTTAAAACATTTCCAAATAGAATGTTAGAAGTCCGATTTTCTTAGCATTGCAGAAAGGAATTTACCACAACGTTGCTACTGACATTGTACACAACACCCGAATTACTAACTATATTATGTCGAAACTTGGTGATGGTAATTTTTACCTCAAGCACTGGACGCCGACTGGCATTTTCGAAACTGTTTTGTCCTGAACATACGGTTCCGCCCTTACACAAAGGATGTTAGTTAATTGTCATGTTCATATCCAATTCTCGGAGTAAATTCTCTTTTAGCTACTTCATTTCTGGCATAGAGAATACCAAGTGAAGGCTTATCTTGAGATACGATTAAATGATTCTAATGGTTGTCTAACATTCATCGCCTCAGGATTTCTAATGTGTAACTTAAAACTCTTCACAAACCCGTAATGCAATTACATGTGCTCACTAGGGTCTAGCTCCGTAAGCAATCTTCTCCGAGTTCTAGTGGAGAGTCATGACCAGTGAAGTTCAACCTGTCCGGGTGTAGACAGCAAATACCGAAGACAGTGCATGAGGTTGCACAACTCCGTGAATCGAGCGAAGTTGGAGATTAACACCGTCAGATACCGGCTGTGGTCTGGAAGTTAGGCGTTCGCGCGCAAGACCGAAGGTCCTAGGTTCGGATATTGCGGGGTGCAGGAGTCGTGGATGTGCACTGTTGATGAGTCCCATACCAGGACGAAACGGCCGTAAAGTGCTTCTAGGTTTCTAATGGTGGTCTAACATTGATCGATTCATGATTTCAAATGTGTAAATTAAATGATTTCCGAAATGTGTCCAGTATTAAAATTGACTTCTCAACTAGGAACCTGGTCTGTTCTATACCATAGTAGGTTTAAAATACTTTTCGGGAAGCTTCCTTGTTGTATCAGGATATGCTGAAGTTATTGCTTCTTTGGTCCCTCATCAGTCGTTCTCGGTGGTAGATTCCTCTCCACTGAGTAGATCGTGAAAGGCTTGTAACATGTTGCTGAAAGATTTTTTAAATTTGGTTGAGTTTGCCCATATGAAGTAGTGTATGCGTTTGTGTGAGAATATGATGCCGCCAATGACCAGTTTGTTGAGGGTACATAGGATTGCGAATCTCTTACCGTTTTCGTCCCACGATATTTTCACAACTAATCTTGTCCACTCTAACCTAGGTGTTTACGTCTTCCATCAGAATGATTAAGTCCTTGGTGGGCATTCCTCAACGACTGACAGCAGCCTGTCGAAGAATTGATCTCTAAGTTCCTCATTGCTTTTGTTAATGTGTGCATAGCAACGGATGATATTTATTGCAATCCTGTTTTTTTATTTTAAGGAGGCTTTGACGATCCTGCGACAAAGAGATTTCTATCCTAAGTGCTTTATTGTGCTTCTTTGAACAGCATCAACTCAACTGTTTGGGTGTGAGGTATCTTCTTGTTCATGATCGGAGCACAACAGCATATATCCTGAAGTTGATTTTTTCTGTCTAGTCTGTGTCCAAAGGGTTTCATTTATTCCAAACAACACGAGGTTGCATCCTTTCATTTCCGTAGCAACTTGGATGGTACTTCCGGCCTATTATATTGTGTGGACAATCCATGCACGTTTATTAATTGTTACTCTGGTTATCAGAAAGGACATCTACCTCGGCTTACATCACGAAGCCTTCCAACTGCCAGGGCAGAGTTTAAATTGTTCAAATTGTTTGGTCTGATAAGCGTTTCTTTTAGCAATTTGTTTTGCCCAATCCTTCTCCTTTATCAGGGATTGTAGCCGGCAGTATCTCCGAAAGTTATCAAGTGGAAGAATTAGGCGAATGTAAAAGGATCCCAGAAATCACTCCATTTCATCTATTCGTTTCGAATTCAATCATTATCATTCTTAATAAGGAGAAAATTACATCCAAGTAATTGTAAAGTAATGAAGATTTATGATATTTTTAGAAAAGGGAATATTATCCAGCTAAATAAGTACATGATCTAGGGTCAATTTTCAAATATTTATAAACACGCACTATTTGAATGCATGTAGGCTATGTAAAGCTAATCTTCCAGTTAGGAATTGAATTAAGTTCAAGGTAAATTAATTCTGTAGGTAAATATTAGAAATTTAAATTATGTAGTCCGTGGCGTTAAAGATGACTGAAATAATAAGAATTTTTAATTAACATTTACTTACTGAAGATTGAAAAAACCTATGCTTCTTCGGAGAACTACCAGACTTCCACTTTTTAGATGGGGTCTTTGATGACATTGGCAAATGAATGAAAGTAGGAATTTTTGTAGAATGTAAATCAGAACAATTTTGTTTATTTGCATTGTCTATCGGTGAATTGTCACTGTGAAAGGGAAAGAATAACAAGATATAATTCTAACCACACAAATTTATCTATTATGCGTGTAAGATAATCACATAGTTTACAAGTACTGAACGTTAACTGATTAAAACATTGGTTTCTCTAATATCAAATATAACTGAAAAACGAAAAATATGAACTTGTAATTAGAGAATTAAGTATACAAGACATGAAAACCATCATTACAGAATGTAAACTTTTTTTATAACTTATGTACAGCGCTAACTATAACCAGAGAAGTGTTAAGTTACTTTGCATACCTTAGTTCGAATGACGACTCACGGGATTATAAATTACTTACTAAAGTTCAATCACATATTAGGAAACTTAACATTCACTCAGTGAGTTGATGCATTCTGTAAGCGTCTATCAGAAAAGACAAATCATAGAGATTCAAAAATTTATCCCAAAGTGAAACACTTAATCTCTGAGTTAACTGAAATGAGCACAAATTGAACATGGAAAAAAATCCAATTTGAATGCCTCTCTGCAAACTGAACATAAAGAAACAATCTTGGACATAAATATCAAATACTAATATAGAAATAGTTACTAGTTACTAGAATTTTACAAAACCTACAGCAACGACTGTAACTGACATATGTAATAGTGAGGATTTATGGTCTAACTGTAATAACGTATATCATTCTACCGTGTATTGAGTAAATAAGATAATATCTACAATTGTTTTACCACATCTTACTCATCTGGCTATCGAAAACAAGGTGTAGTATTTGTGACAGTGAAGTTCAACCTGTTCGGGTGTAGACAGTAACTACCGAAGACTGTGTATGATGTCGCGCAACTCCGTGAATTGATCAAGTTAGACATTAACACCGTTAGATACCGGCTCAGTGGTCCGATGGTTAGGCGTTCGCCTACAAGACCGAAGGTCCTGGGTTCGAATCCTGCGCTCTGCTGAGGAGTCCCATACCGGAACGAAACGGCCGTCCAGTGCTTCCAGGTTTCTAATTGTGTTCTAGCACTGATCGGTTCATGGTTTCAAAAATGTGAAACAAAAAAATTAGCTCACCTATAAGATTTGGCGACATCAATGTCCGATTTTTTATTAGAGTCCTCATGAAAGTCATCGTTTAAACTAAGTGTTTCAAATACTGATACATTTTCATCCAATGAATTTAATTTAATTTCATCTATAGAAGTATTTATCCGAAAACAAATCAATCACAATGATTAGTCAAAAGTATTAAGGATTCGAAAAAAAAGGTTAACGAGCAGAATAAAACTCTTTTTCATTGATTGAGTGTTCAAATACCAGAGGTTCAAACAATTAATCAAAGATCAAGACTTGGTAACCAGTTAGGGATTAACTACTTATATGTGACTATACGTTGACCGTATTCAGTGTATCAATAATGCACTATTTTGTTGATTACACAATTTCATTCACTAGGTAAAGGACTACTATCAATGAAGTATAAACAGCGAATAAACGCCGAATATATAATTCAGTCCCTGTTATGTAACTAATCATATATATATAATCATATATATTTATATATAATTATAAAATAAATTCTCCCAACTTAATAATAAAAGGAGATGATTAGTTTAGTCGTCTAAAAGAAGACCTCTGCATCTAATTAAAGTCCATAAACATTAATACATGTATACAATCAGTCGAAAATGAAAAATCACTAGACAGTGAGAATTAGGTAAGAGAAGCAATAACATAAGGTCAATAGTAATTTGACGTTTGGCTTCGAGCAGCTGATGCGATGTATTTACGTCATATATTTGCAACAATTTGGTCACATACACTTGTCAAGTTATATAGTATGAAATTTAATAAAGGTCAATTAAAAATCAGATGATAACTGTATATAGATGAGAGAAAATTAACATAGTAAGGAAAGAATAAAATGCCTTAAAGATTACCAGAGTAAATTCAAGGTTACAACAAATCGTTTATGTATACATAAGTAGAGTTTGAATTTACGAATAGCCAAAGCTTTTATAAACTTAAGAATGCATCTTTGACCACTGTTATACAACGTTTTAAAAGCTGTCTTGATGTCAATCGTATGCCCCATTTCGATTGTGTTTTGCTATTGCTTAACATGGTTTACTATTTCCAATGTTTATCGGGTCATTTCACATTAAACTAATGTTCCATAACCCTTGATTGCATTATCCGATTACTCTTCCCTATGTACGTGTGTCCATACAAACATACAAACTGATAGATGCAATAAGATATGACGTAATCACTAGTGTAATGTGTGAAATCAACTCGATTAATGCTCAGTTCGAAAGTTTTCGGTCAAATGACCCTCCCGTTCCAACCACTCCATATAAGCAAAATTGGTTCACATTGCACACCAATTTCACGGTTCTCAAATAAGACAGATATACCTTGACATCTAAAAATTTTAATGCCCTAAAAATTCTCCGTAGCAGACCAGATATTGTGATTCTCAAACTTGACAAAGGTTCAGGCGTAGTTGTTATGAATATGTGTGTCCATATAGAAAAAATGTTATCCATTCTTAGTGATGAAAGGAAGTTCTTGAAATATGTGTCATCTAATAATGATCGTGGTTTTAGCAGCTAGTGTATCATAAGCCCGCACATAGAAATGCATAATCCAAACCCGAGTTCACGAATCTGTAAATGTTTATTAAGCTTTATGAAATCATCTATTTCACCGCAATGAACAACTACAAAGGCCGTATGAATAGAATCATCTCTCCATATCTCTGAATAACTTTACCCGTGCATTATTTAAACAATGAATTACAGCCAAATCTACAGAGTACTCGGTAGGTAATTTATATTGCACTGTTAATGTAAAGAACCATCGATCAAATTTTGGAGAAAATATCAAGCTAATCACTAAGGATCGAAAGATTACACAAGACAAACCATCAGGTAAAGTGGATGATTATAATGATTGAAACAATTATTCATATTCACTTATGATTTGATATAGACTACTTGAACATATATTATGTAACCTATTCCTTCAAAACTGAGTAGTGAATTCATATCTAAGAAATGAGTCTGGTCATACAAAGTTATCTTGTAAAAACTACTGTCTAAGATGAAAACGACTGAGATCATTTATTAATTTGACCTTGAACATAATGTTGCAAAACAAACTGTAATTTATGTATGGTTAAAAACATGTTATTTCAGAAAGACAAGCTTACCTTCAATATATTCAGCAGTAAAATTATCCAACTTTTCATGAATTTCATTTGGATTATCATAAGTATCTTTCAACAATGAGTGAAATTGTTCAAAATTTTCTGACGTTTCAGTTTCAAAAATTGTTTGAAATGGATTAAAACTAGTACAGGAATTATTTAAAGTCGTTAAAATACAACGCCATCGTTTTTTATGATTTATAACTTGGTGCTTTAGATCAGAAACCTTATTTCTGGAATAAAAAGGATGATAAATATGAACATGTAAAAGGTTATCTAACACATATGAAACTAGTATACAGTTACGAAACAAAAGAAAAGAACAAAACCATATAACTCTCCATAGATTGAACCAATCAATAATAAATTGTGCCATTACGTAATCTAGCGATTATTATCTAGAAAGAAAAGGTTGTCTATTGAATTAACAACCAGATAAGTATCTTGGAGAAATAAAGTTTACAATAACAATGTATATATATATATATATATATATATATATATATATATATATATATATATATATATATCTGTAAGAAATTGTAATGAGTACAATTTCTGTTGGTTTAACATTTTAGTCCTGTACAATTGTAATTTTTCCCAATAAAATATAACAATAGTAGAAGTAATCATAAAAAGGGAATTATTAACAGTAAAGACATTTTTATTAGGTTGAGAACCATTTTCGAGTTAAATTTGCACCGTGACCATGATGATGGATTTTGAAATGAAGAGTGAACTGATTGTCATTTGAACAATCAGTGGATTGTACCGAATCAAACAAATGACCAAAGCTAAACAATTTGGAATAGTAACACAAATAATTTTCAGCTAAACTGGAAATGTAGCCATTAATGACTCGCGATAGTTGGAAAGATCGGTTTTGTTACTACTTTAACTGATGATGACGAAGTGAAAAACATGTAGGTACATTAGAAATTTTTTGGCAGTGTCTTCGAGCATCAGTACTTGAGGATAGGAGTTCTGGAGAGTCAGATTTAAATGCACATGTGCCATTTAGAGATTCAAAACGGTGATTTAAAAACACATTTCTGGGCTGGTAACGGTTGAATTCTTAGGGAAGTATGTTTCCTGAAACTATTTCTTTTGAAGTGATTTCTGCTTGAATTTGCACAGGATTTACCTTATGCCGTCTACTTACTAGAGGTTTGTCTTCTTTATAAGAGGGTTTTCTGCTTCAGAATGATGTTCTGGATGGTTGGATTGTTTATTTTCATATTAAATGTACCGAGAAGCATGTCCAGAGAAAATTCAGTTTGCTGTGTTTACGAACCCAATAAGCAATGGATTTTCGTGTTCAATTGACATATTTTTCCTGATCTGTACTTTGTACGTTATCGATCCTTAAGTAACTAACAAAAGGCGTGGAAGTAGATAATTTCCGGCACCTATTTCGCCAAACAATGCATATTCAACAATGATAATAATACTATCACCTTCGTGTAAGCGAAGTGTTAAAATCCTAGGTTTATAAGAAATTTTGAGCGGGTGTGGATACATTCTGTATACTCCAATACATGAAGTAGGAACCCAGTTAGATTTTATCTGCCGTTCCTTTATCCAAGAGCTTACAGACAACAACAAAAACTGAGATCATCATCATTCAGGAAATTCGACCTATATTCAATAATCGGCTAGTAAATTATAGCTAGTACTTAAGGCCTGATGACAATATTCGTTGAATAAACGATGATATTATAAAATCGAGTTAGTGATGTGATGATTAAAGACGAATACATACAACATTTTGAGCTACAACTCCATTATTTACAACTGCCAGAATGTTAAGAAAACTCTTTAAGTATTTTATAATCTCAGAGAATTACCAATGAACATTAGATATATCCTTGAATGTCTAACCATAATAACAACATTCCATTTGTCATTCTGTTTTAAAATATACTAGCAACTATTTTGCAGCATTGTCTTTACTGACAGGTTAATAACAGGATAACAACGACAAAAAACTCTATTTAATTGTATTGTGCGCTTAATCTTTAGTTAATAGTAACACAACTTATCAGTGTATTATAATCGGAGTATGTCATTGTACGATAAACACACCTATTATATCCGTATAATAATATGATAACGGATAAGTAAGTTTATAACAGTGAAATATATATTATGGCAAACATTTCGTAGACGCAAAAACTTCGAGATCAGTAAGCTGGATTCTGTAAGGATAGAGATCATGTACTGAGCAAATTGCGACACTACGGATCATTTTGGAACAAGCAATCAGAGGGAATTCACCACTACACCTCAACTTCATTGACTACGAAAAAGCATTTGACAGAGTGGACAGGATGACACATTGAAGGTTTATTGGACACTAAGGCGAGCCTGAGAAGATAGTCAACATAATACGGAATTCTTATGATGGATTAAACTGCGAGATCGTTCATGGAGGACAGTTCACAGACTTGTTCTGAGTGAAGACCGGTGTCAGGCTAAGTTGCTTGCTATCACCGTTTCTTTTCCTCCCGGAGGTCGACTGGACTATGAAGACATCAACATCTGGGGGGGGGGGGGAAGCACAGAGTACAGTGGACAGCTCAGATGTAGCTGGACAATCTGGACTTCGCAGATGGTCTGGCTCTCTTATCGCACACAAAACAAATGCGAACGCAGACGACCAGCACCAGCAGCAGTAGGTCTCAACATACACAAGAGTAAAAGCAACGTTCTTCGATTCATCACAGAAAGAACCAATCAAATCACACTTGACAGACACGCTCAGGAAGATGTAAGAACCTTTACGTATCTGAGCAACGTCATTGGTGAGCAAGGTGGATCGGATGCAAATGTCAAGGCGCTCACTGATAAAGCAAGGGCAGTACTTATACGACTGGAGAACGTCTGTAACTCTAGACAACTACCGACCAACACCAAAGTCAGAATTTTCAATACAAATGTCAAGACTGCTCTATTGTTTGTGGCGGAGACTTGGATAACTACGAAAGCCATCATCCGAAAGATACAAGTTTCATTAACAGTCACGAAACGAGCCCTCAGTTGGGATCCCCATGGCTAAAGAAGAAGAGGAAAACCAAAGAACTTATTACACCGAGAATCGGAAACAGACATTAAATGAATGAACAACAATTGGATAGACCTGGAAAAGAAGGCACAGGACAGAGTAGGTTGGAGAATGCTGGTTGGCAGCCTATGCCTTATTAGGAGTAACAGACGTAAGTAATATATTTAGGTAAATAATGAGATCAACAAGTTCAGACATGATTAGTGAGTAGAAAAATGAAAACATAGAAATTTAAACTTAGTCTGTTGAATTAGTTAAATGACTTTTCTTTCCAATATGTGACACATTGATAATTTACACAATAAGAAAAAGAATTTTGATCTTCGCACAATTTAAAGTTCAGGTGTTACTCTTACATTAGTTGAAATATTGTTATAAATAATAGTTTGCCATGTCATGGTAAATTTTAGGCTATATTTAAACAATGAATCTTCAACAGTTCTTACTTTATTGTATTAATTATCATATAAAATTCTTTATCCGTATATTTCTTGCTGTAACATGGAAATCTTAGCAGACACTTCTTTGTTTTTGATTCAATAACCTGACGTAGAAAAGAACAAATAAGAAGAAGAAAGATACACTACCAACAAGTTGAAAATCGTTATCTACCAAGAAATATCAAAGATTATACAAAAATTAGATAATGATCTTAATGATATCATGAAACTATCTTCCTGTATGAATGCTGAAACATGATTTTATTTAATATTTAGGAATTCCAAACGATATGACCTCTAAAACAGATAAGAAGGACTTTTGAAGCTCCATTGGTATGAATTTCTCAACAATGCTTTGAACGACATAAACAAAACTTCTGTGGTTCTATTATAGATAAAATCAACGCAAGAAAATACCGTTTTTATTACGGTAGTCGACTCCACATTCCTGCCCAGTAATGGATAATTACACTACGAGGTTGATTGAACCTTGTTAAGCGTGATAAGTTTCAAATCTATAACGCAATAGTCACGAGAACAATGACAAAACGATTAGGCCTTAGTCTTAAATTTCGCTTGTGTAGACAGAAAATGAGCCATTATTTAACAAGAGCATTACTAGGTCACAGCATAAAGATTTCCGTATATTTTTATCAACAAAGCAAAAGTAAACTAAGTATAGGTGAGCCGATAATCGGATAAAATCTACTTCAGCACCTTCGGCACGTTACATAACTGAATAATATCATATAGAAAACATTTAAACGATTTGTATTTCCATATGGGACGCAGTGAAAACAAATATATGCAGAAAAAGTTCCATCTATTTAGTAGATCGTGCTGAAAACATTTAGTAAAAACTTTACACTGAGTTATTTTCATTCGGAAAGGGAATAAAACTGGTCAGTACGAGATTCGAAGTAAGATTATAAAACATTGCTTTCTTCTAAACTACGCCTATGGTAATCAGCAGTTACAGTTGGAAGTTAGGTAAATTTTAGATATCCAATAACCAAAGAGGCCAATCACATCATCGAAAAAAAAGATAAGGACAATTCAGCGAAAATTTTCTTTTCAAAGACTTTACTACATACTTAGGCTGTAAAATCGTATTCATAGTTAATTATACTTGTCAAGATAGTAGTCTATAATAAAATAGAATAGCGTGAAATAATAAGAATAATAACCTGAAGAGGTATTATGTATTGTTTATGAAAATTAAATATTGAACGAAAGTTATGTAATAATAATCAGCTGATAAAAGGTGCTAAGATAAGGGCAATTTTCGTCCACCTGATATCTAATAAGAACAGAATAAACGAAAGTTGTAATGATGGTTAGTTTATATTTGCAAAAAAAATAACTGGAAAGATAGTAGATAGCAATCACTTTTGCATACACATGTTTTTCATGTGCCAACTCTTCTTGACTACAAGATTTTGAAGGATACTTCTGATAAAGCGTAGCGGCCAGAACTGACTAGATGATTCAAAATTGAGCTTTTGACTGACTTCGGCAGTCAGTCATTCAGTCAGTTGCAACGTAGAACTTCGTACGTATGTACATAAGTTCATGTTGTCATACCACATCACCACAGAGACGCAAATGTCTAATCAAATCCCATAGTGATAGAGATAGTACAGGTATTAATGGTAATGAAGAAGATTAGGATTTGAAGATATTATTCAAGAACTGACTTCGGCAATGCTTTAAAAAGCCAGGCAGAGAGATGTGCTTCGAAACGGCTTGCTTAGCGAGGCCACTACAGTCCGCTAGACACGAACAAGTAAACTGAAAGTTACTAATTTCTTCCAGTGACATAAATGAAATTCCCTTTGCTGAATTATTTTTATGAGACATCTACCAACCACAAGACAATAAGGGCTTATAATCCCAACAATCGAATCACCATTCCTAAATAGGTTCTTATGCCTAATGTCAAAATTATTCCACTTGATGGTGCCACCTTATGCTAGTAATCCTTTGAAATTACCTACAATCCAGAACTTGAAACTCATATAAATCTCATTTTATGGGTTATGATTTGTACGACTGCATTTATCTGGTTGACACTTCAGATTCCTTAAAAAAACAAACTGTAGAAAAGTAACAACTACTTACTATTTCTTCAGCAACTGAAAGCCTTTGATCAATTTCATTGACTTTGTCTAATAGATATTTTATTTCAATAATATAACTTTCACGAAGTGAACTAACAAGTGTTGAGAATTGAGTATTAGAAAAAACCATATTGATTTCTGATTGATCAAGTGTTTTGTTGATTTCATTCCAATTTAGATCAAAAAAGGAATTAAGATTCTGATTACTCTGTAAGGAAACATTAACAAAACCCTTTTTATGATCAATATACAAGTAAAATATAACCATCTTCAAAGTATGAAGTGAGACTTTTTCAAACCTAATTATAAAATCATATGATAATTTGAATATATCGAGGTTTGAATGCACAGAAATTAAAATGTTCTCAAATACCAACACAACTATTATTTAAAAGTGAAAATGAACTTATATCTCGGAGGTTTTTTTGCATAAAAAAGTAACAATGATTCCATTTATATATCAATTATAATTTTCACGATGAACTGACATCACCGATGATGCAAGAACGTTGATGTCAGTTTGTACTGAAAACCATAACCTGATCTTTAAACAAGCAAGTTGTTTGCACCTTGAAATCATCAATCAATTATTGTTAGACAACCACTAGAAACCTGGAAGCACTAGTCGGGCGAAATTTGTAGATTAATCAGATTTAGGCATTGACACCGCTGGATGCCGACTCAGTGGTCCGGAGGTTGGGTTCTGGCATGCAAGACCGAAGGTCCTGGGTTCTAATCCTGCGAGATGCAGGAGTCGTGGATGTGCAATGTTAGTTATTTTATGACTAATTGTAGTTATGTCATAACTAACCAATCAGATTGGTTAAGCGCTCACCACGTCATCTAGTCTGACTGATGTATAAACTTTCTTTGTTGTGAATGGCCCATCGATTGAAGGATGTTATCATGTTATTTATATTGCTGTGACTCATGTTTTTTATTCATTTTCTAAAGACACGCTATACTGTCCGGTACGTCTT